GGGGCTGATGTCACCCCGCGCAGGCACCGCCTCTCCAAGGAGGGGCTCCTCTCTGAGCAGCAGCATCCCCCTCCTCGCTGCAGATGCTCTGGCATCCCCCCCCCAGACCCCTCCTCCCACGGCCCTCCGCCTGCCCAGCCTGAGCTGGGGCTTGTCCCTCTCTCCCCACGGCCAGTCCTTCCCCATGGAGGGGTCCTTTGTCTGAGCTGCTGCTGTGGTCACCTCCACAGCTGGCAAGGACCCTCACGCTGCCTTTGCAGCAGGTCCGAGGGCTGCTGGGACCCTCTGCGGTGGCTGAAGGGGGCTGAGGGCTCACCCGGGCAGTGGCCGTGGCCACCAGCTGGTTGTTGCCACCCTGGCACTGCGTTTTGAACCCATTTGGAACCAGTGCAGGGAGTAAATAGTTCCCTTCCCATGGTGGAAATTCATAGCAGTTCTACTGGGTGGGATCAGGATTTGCATGATAAAAGAAAGAGCAGAGGCAGCCTAGGCCCTTTTATTTTCTTTTTTCCAGGCCAGACGTGCCCAGGGCAGAAATGCTTTGGACACTTCTTGCCTGTGTTGGGAGGAGCAGCTTAAATCCTTGGCTCCAAGACCAGGTTGTTGCCAGCTCAGACTGAGACTTAAATTCAAGTTGATGTTTTGATGTCACAGAGTAGCTTTTAATCCTCTTTGAATCCCGTACCCAGGGACAGACAGAGGAAAAGGGACATTAGCTCACAGCAAAGGACGGTGAACAAGGGGACCCGAGCGGCGCAGCACTGCACGAGGGGCTCAGCACAGCACCAGTAAGGATCTTCCTGCTAAATTATTATTAACTCGGGGTAACAATACGGGCTGTTTCGATGCAGCACAGCAGGGGGGTTTGCTACCTCGGAGGAGGCTGCTGCTGGCACCAGGCAGAATTCAAACTATTCCTAGAGCTCCCCAGGACCCCATTACTCCAACCAGCCCTCTCCCAGGGTCTCCAGCTGCTGTGCTCAATCCTCCTGCCGTGCTTTGAGCACAGCAGCTGGGGAAGGGCTTGCTGAGCCCTGGTGAGTCTGTGGTTTCTCAGGGGTAGGATCCTGGAGCAGCAGGAGGGAGCTTTGTCTCAGCCGATCAGCAAAAGCAGGTCAGACACTGCCCAGCCCTGCTCCCCCACCAACCCTGCACCTTCTTAGGGCTCCTGTCCCTCAGGCCTGATTCGACAGGGACAGAATGAAGCTTTAGTGCAACGCTGGGCTGGTGCTTGCGCCTGGGGATAACACCAACCCTGCACTAGCTGGGGCCAGGGGACAAGGAGGGGGGTTGCAGGAGAAGTCCTGCCCCAGAGTCTTGTGTCCAGTGGCTGCCCTCAGCTCACTGGGGCTTTCCAGGTGGAAATGCCTCTTGCAACACCAAATCAAAGCTCTTTCCAGGAAGGGTGGGAGCAGCTGGTGCTGGGAACTGCCTGTGTCTGAGCTGGCAGAGGTGAGGAGAAGCAGGCACCCTGCTTGGTTTCTTCTCTCCCCAAATCTTCCATTAAAGCCCAGAAATGCTCTGATCCTGCCCCGGTGCTGGGATGGACCCTACGGTGCTCCTGCCCCAGTAGTGGGAACAGCTGGAGGCACTATCTCTGTAGCCTTGTCTGCATTTGCTCCTTGCCCCTAATTAAATAAACACCCCAGAGTTATCGAGAGCTGCTGAAAAAGCTGATTCAACATTAATTAGTAACTGAAAAGATGAGTTGGAAAGGGAATGATGGGAGCAAAATACACAGGCTTTTGTTTGCAGTGAAAGTGCAGAGGGCTCCTGCTCTCCCTCCCGGCCGCTCACCTCTGGCCCCTGGTCCTCATGCAGAGAGATGGCACCTGCCCCATCCTGAGCCACCATGCCTTGGGACTTCCCAGGTCTGCTCCCAGCCTTGCTGACATAAAAAAAAACCAAACCTGAAATCCCAAGAACAAGCCTTCCCAAACAGTGACATCTGGGGAAGAACAAGCCCACAGCTTTTCCCTTTGCCCCAGAGCACTGCTCCCTTGTCCCCTTGGTTAGGGTTTTTCTCTTGCTGAGACCAGACTGTGAAGCAGCCTCCCCTTGAGGTGGAGTCTGGTAGCTTTAATACCACGAGGTTGGCTTTGAAATAAATGTGGCAAGACCTCAAAACTGGTTCGTGTTGTCCCTTCTGCTCTCAGAAATGGTGTCCAACCCACACCCTCTCCGGGAAGGTCCTGGCATCAAAGGCACAGCCAGCAGCTCTTGGAGCTGCCCGCACATGTGGGGAGCCCTCCCCCCTGCCAACTTGGTGGGGATGCTGGGTGGGAAAGAGG